AAAAAAAAAAAAAAAAAGGCATATATTTAGGAGTAGGAAAATAAAATTCAAGTGCTCCAAGAAACTGGCATTATCCTGGTAGAGGTTAAAAGTTATTATAGGGCCAGTCCTGTGGTCTGGTGGTTAAGGGAAGCAGATCTCCCTGGCATGGCTGACTGCATAGTTTGATTCCTAGACCTGGTGACTTGAGAAATATGCAAGCTGTCTGTGTATACATGTGCACCCAAATCCAGACAGGATGAAGAAATGGAGAAAGAACAGGACCACATTCCATGTAGGGGTGCTTTCTTCTCCTTCTCTTTGCCTCTAGTGAGCACATGCACCCTCTGGTAAATTTTTTTTTAAGTTTGATAAAGTGCAGGGGGTGTGTTATAATTTGGGGGGGTACTGCTAATAGTAAAAGAAAATAAAACTTCCAGACTAACAATGTAAACATAAAAACTTTTAAATTATTCCTAAAGGATATATGAATAAAAGGGGGAAGGCAAGCGGCAGTGCAGCAGTCATGCAGTGGAACCCACATGAAAAGGTTCTGGGTTCGGTCCTGTGGTTCCCTGCATACATACGTCGTTAAGTTGTGCACATGCCTGGGATCTGGCCGGCTGAGGCTAGGGTGGGATCACAGTGATAAAACCTTACTGGGAGTGTCCATCTGTCTCTCTGTCTTTCAGAAGGACGAAATAAATAAAACTTTTATTTTGCTATAGGGCATGTGTGCTCACCAGAAAGACAGAGAGACAAGGCGAGAAATCACTCCCCGGGGGGATGGCCACACCGCAATTCCTTCTCCTCCATTCTCCTCCCGGGAACTTGGGCACGAACGCACACGTGCCTGGCGTGAGTTTAAGCCCCAGGTCTGGGACTTGAACCATGGTTAACTACATGGGAGTTCTGCGACATAGCCATTATGCCAACTGTTGGTCTCATAAATAAACTTTAAAAAAAAGTATACACAAAGAAAAAAAAGAGCAGGTGGGAGAAAAAGCATATAGTAAAGATGGTAAATTTAAATATCAGTCTTTCTGTTTAAGTAAATGAAATAAGTCAAAAGACAGAATGGATGAAATAATCAAAACCAAAGCATAACGCTAACAGCAAATCATTTTAGAAGTCAAGTCTCAGTATAATAGAGACTAAAAAAAATGTGATGAAGGTAAATGTGAGTAGGCCTGAATCCTAGGCTCTTTCAGGCATGCATGGCACCTGAAATCAAGACATAAACAAAGAGCTTCCCGTGCAGACATTACCTGCAGCAGCCAGGTGGGCTGTAACCTCATCAGCAGCGGTGGAGTTGAGTATGTCTGAGTCATCGTAGGAGGTGTCCTCGGGGGAAGAAGGCGAGTCCTCGTCGGCACTCAGCATACTGTGCTCAGTGTAAGTGGCCACGTGGACCTGCTGGACTTGCTGGGCCACTGCATGGGCTTCTATGGTAGCCATGTGTTCGGTTTGGGTCACTCCGTGTTCCTCCATGAAGAGCTACTGTCAGAAAAAAGGAAAAGAACAGGACTCAGTGTGTAACACACAATGCTTAAACTAAGAAAGATTTTCTTCAAGAGCAGAGGACCTTTGATAAGCCTCTGCTTTCACTACTTACCTCATGGAAGCACATTCAAATATGACTTAAAAACAGTAGGATATTTTCCTTATGTAAAACCATTTCTATGGAAAATCATTGTACTAATTTTTTAACTCAGATCACAAAACAATAATTGATACAAAAAAATAAAAAGACATTTATATATAACAATAAGATATTTAAAATATCCCAGTGACTAGCATTTGGTATTGCAGATATAAAAACATAAATAAGTGAAACACTAACATTTTCCTTGTATTTCAAAGACAAATGGGAAGTAAACTTATTCTTCTTTCCCACTCCAAGAGTGTGTGCCTGCCTCAGGGATGTGACTTGGTGAGAAGAGTAAGAGGGAGAGGAAAAACTGTATCTCTAAATGACTCCTCACCGGTCTGACAGACAGGACTGCAGAGCAGACATGGGCTGATGCCGAACCTTTGGTCTTATCTGTGAAAACTGCAACTTTTTTCTGTGCTACATTACATACCAATCCCCAAATAACAAATGAACTCTTTGTAATTCTCGGGGTTGAGCATTTTCTTTGGGGCTTTCTCTTCCTTTCTGGGAGGTGGGAGGGAAAGGAGCAAGGCATCATCCTGCTCTTTATTTGTGTTTTGGTCCCAAAATGTAGATTTTTCTGTGTGTTACCTTTTTTTGTGGTAACTACCAAGATGAGTATTTTAATTAGATAAGTTATATGAAAAGGAAACTTACATATCTAAGTAAACAAACAAATAAAAACACCCTCTACAGCAAACAAACTTTTCTCCCACCAAAAATACATTTATTCATATTGCTTTTTCTGTTTACAAAAGTGGACTACTTGTACACTCTGAAATAATGTGATAATTCACAAAGCTATAAGCTTAAAAGTCTCTCTTATTGTACTTACAATGTCTCTAGTACCCCCAAAAGTTCATTATTATTATTTTTTTAATTTTTGAAGTATACATATATACCAGATTTAAAATGAAGGCAAATTCGTATAACACATATTACCAGCTTTTTCATGTTACAATAAAGGTGGACATTTTGACACACAGATCTACTATACCCCCACCTTTTTTCTTTTTTCTTTTTTTTTTGCCAGAAGGGAAGTGTGCTGGCCAGAGAGGGAAAGCACCTCCAGTGGGACATGGTCACACTATGTTCCTCCTTTCCCACCTGGATTTGGAAAACACATGTATATGCACCCACCTAGCACGGTTTTTCAAGCCACCAGGGTTTGTGTGCCCATGATGGTGGGCGGGCAGAGGCTGAGTGGATTGAAGACCCTGTTAGGAATGTCTGACTCTCTCTTTCTTCCTTTTTCTGTCCCTCTCTCTCTCATGAAATAAATAAGTAGAAGGGGAACTGGATCCAACATGGCTGACCACAGCTCAAACAAGGCCCCTGCAGCTAGAAAAACATGCCACGAGTGTGTGTGAATAAATGCCCACAATTTTGACAGTATAGATAGATGGAAGAGAAGGGATTTCAATGTAACCATGTCCCACTGTGGGGTGTTTTTCTCTCTGGCAAGTACACATGCCCTCTGGCAAAATTTAAATAATAAAATAAAACAAAAAACAAAAAGATGCTCAACATCCATCATTATTAGGGAAGGGCATATTAAATCTGAGTAAGATATTGTCACACACCTATCAGAATGGGTAAAACCCAAAACAGTGACACTATCAAATGCTATCAAGGATGTGGAACAAGAGGAAATCCCATTCATTGCTTGTAGATATAAAACTATAGTTACTTTGGAAGACAGTTTGGTAGTTTCTTACAAAGCTAAACATATTCTTACCAATCAATTCACAAATGTGCTCTTTGGAGTAGAAAGGAGTAGAAAACGTAAGACTATCTAAAAACCTGCACAAAGATGTTTAAGACAGTTTTATTCATAATTGTCAAAAAACTGGCAGCATGTGCTCTAGTAGGTGAATGGATAAATAACAATACATCCAATGAAACATCATTCGGTTTTAAAAAGAAGTAGCTACCAAGCTATAAGGAGACATGGAGGAACTTTAAATGAATACTACTTAGTGAAGAAGCTAAGCTGTAAACACTGCCTGTTGTATGACTCCAACTATACGAACCTCTGGAAAAGACAAAACTGTGGAGACAGTGAAAGGGCCAGTGGTTGCCAGGGGCAGGGAAACAAGGGATGAATAGAGAGCACCCCGGATGTGTCAGGGTGTGATATCACTCTGTGTGATACCACAATGGTGGATACCACTGTGTTGGATGCTATACATTCAAGAGTGGAAATCAGGGGACCAGCAGTTAGTGTAATAGCTATGTTGCTGAACTCCCATGTAGTCAACTGTGTTTCAAGTCCCGGACCCAGTGGCTTAAACTCACACCAGGCACATGTACATGCATGCCCAATATCCCAAGAGGAGAATGGAGGAGAAGGGATTGTGGCGTGGCCATCCCCCCTGGGGGGTAATTTCTCGCTTTCTATCTCTCTGTCTCTCTCTGTCGGGCGAGCGCACATGCCCTATAGCAAAAACGTCCCCAAAAAAAAAAAAAAAAAGAGTGGAAATCAGTAAACCATCACTTGAACCCTTTATTCGTACCTTCTTTTGAGATTATCCCCCAGTCCTGTATCTCTGTGTGGCACACTGCCTTCCCTAACAAACTCACACTCTCATTTCTTCAAATAGAGGTTTCAAAATTAATTATTTAAAAATTTTATTTATTATTATTCATTTGAATTTGCTATAGGGTACATGTACTTATCAGAGAGAAAAAGGGAAAGTGAGAAAGCAAGCCACAAGGCCCAGGACTTGAACCGCCATTGGCCATGTAGGAGTCCAGTGCCCCAACTACCACTCTACCTACTGGTCCCAAAATGAGGTTTTTAAATACTTGGTAAATTAATAAGTATTTAATGAAGTGAGAAAAGGATGAAGAAAATATGGGAAAATGTGGATAAGGGGCGTAGGAGAATTTTTTGTACTATCCTTGCAAATTTTTTTAAAGTTTCAAATTTTAAAAAATGTAAATAATTTTGCCCAAGAGAGTTTACTGATATCTTCAAAATCCTAGGTTTGGTGTGAGTTTCAGAATATTCCAGGGAATATATCCTAGCTCCCAGATTCGTAGTTATCTAAAACAAAATGTAACACACTAGGTCACAAAATTAAACATAATACGTGACAGGAAAATACCATTAAAACACTATTTTCCCCATCCATTTCACTGTTCTAAGAGATGAACTGCTTAGGGCATTTCAGAGTTCTGGGTACTTCAAAACCAGTTTTAAATGATTTGGGATTAGACGGCATCTAACTGCTTTTCAAAAGGATTTGCTCGCAGTGCATTTGGCATAATGGATTCGGTCCTCTGCTGCAGAATGCAGTCCACAGCATAAATCAATAGGCTGTGTCTGCTGCCCAGGGCCTCATCTCTCTGTCTCCCTCCCTTATCCCATCCTTGACCCAACAATTTTTATTCACCACACTCTGTAAAAAGCAAAGGCAACAGTATTTCTCACTTCTCTGAACCAGAGTAGGCTACTTGTAAATGATGTTTTAGATATTTTCATTAAATCATAAATGAAGCCGGTTGTCTAAAGTCAGGTATGACTGCCATACTGCCAGAGATCATCAGACTCTATTCCCCTCAAGTGAATTTTAGAGACACATCTTAGCTTCCATCCATGAGAAAACAAGAGTCTCTGGATAGCAAGACTGATGGGAACTGCCAATAGGTGAAAACATATTAGATAATCTGGATTTTTAAAAACAGCACAGTTGGGGAGACCAGCAGTTGGTGTAATGGTTATGTTGCTGGACTTCCATGTAGGTCGAGTCCCGGATCCAGTGGCTCAAACTCACACCAGGTGTGTGTGCATGCCCAAAATCCTACAAGGAAAAGAGAGAGAGGAGATTTCTGCGTGGTCTTTCCCCTGGGGGTGATGTCTCACTTTCTCTCTCACTGTCTTTCTCTAGTGAGCACATACTCCCTGTAGCAAAAACCTATTAAAAAAAAAAAAAAAAAGGCACAATTACCCTGATATCCAGAACCCCTGGCAAGTATCTTACACTCTATGGCCCAATCCTGTCTCTTTTTTTCATTACATGAAAATAAAAAATGATAGTATCTAAAAGGATAATATGAGTATTAAATTAGATGATCCAGATAATGTCAGAAACACCACAGCCAGCACAGTAAGTGTTCAACCTTAATTATGATGATTCCAGAGTCACTCTGTCTTTATGACCATAGGGTCATAAAGGGGATAGCCTTCCTAACTCATTCATTGCCTGACCAGCTCCACAAACACAGGGCCTCACTGTCCTCATCTTTAATCTATATCCAACTCTGAGGACATTGTTTTCTTAACTGTGCACAAGAAATTCTGAGTCAGGCATCTATCAAGCCCTACATTATTAACTCCAGCAGCTGAAACTGGTCTCCCAGACATAAAGGCAAACAATTCCTAGCATAATTTCGTGACAGTGCACAAAATGGAGAGGAGTCAGATAGGCCAGACAGAGATTCAGCAGAACCAATGCAAAAAGCAAAATGAAAGCACCAGCAGCGTGTAATGACGACCTGTGGCTCTAAGCACAAGTGCCCATCTACCTGTCAGTCACTTGGAACCAGCGGTGTTCTGCAGGTTGGTCAATGCTTTAGTTGTAAAATCATTCTCCCAAATAAGAACTTGGCATGGTAGCAATTTTATTCATGTGTAGCCTGGACTTCACCTGGGGTGCTTTATCTAAAGGTCCTTTTTTATTACACAAACCACAGGAATTGGAGGAAAGGTCAGTTTGGTACACAAGAATTCTACTTTTGCCCTTCCAGGTCAGGAGAGGTGAACTTAGAGATATGTGCGGGAACACAGAAAAGACTGCTATGGCCCAGCACCCTTGTATTTGTGGTCAATACTACCTAGCAAGCTACTGGAATTTTAAGGAAATGTCCAAGGGAGTTAAATTCAGTTTAATCCACGCTAATGGATGGGATTAGGCATATAGAGTATTTTAAAAATCAAAGTAGAAAGAAGATCAGACAAGGGAATCTAATCAAAGTATAACTAAATGTAAAAGAAAGCAT